TTTTTTTAATATTTTACATAATAAATACCATCTCCTTAATTTTAAATTTTTGTCCAAATTTTTTAAAGTAAGAAAATGTTTAAATAAAATTAAAAAAAAAAAAAAGTTGTAGTAACTCCCTCTATGTACTCTACGGAGAGAGAAAGGAAATAAAACAAAACTTTTTGGGTATGACGAGGACGTTTTGATTCAAAAGGGCGTCCAAGTTCTCTTCATGTAATGAATTGGGACCCACTCTCTACTTCGCCCCCACCCTCTCCCTCTCCTCTCTCTTTCTTTCTTTTTAATTTCCGCTTCTTGCAAAATACAACGGCGCTAACTTACAGACATTTCCCCCCCCTTCCCCACCCCCATTCCAAAACCTCTCTTCCTTCTTTCTTTCCCTTCTCTATCTTCTCCTCTTTCCAACTTTTTTTTTTTCTTTTCTTTTTTTGAAAACAAAAAAGGGGATATCATACTATTATCCAAAGGGCAATGAAACGAAAGCGTCGAAAGTGATTTGTTCTCTATATAAGAGAAGGAAACTCCTCAGAAGAGTTACGTCTCCTCCTTTTCCTTCCTCGTCTTCTTCTTTGTAGCTTCCGCATATTCCTTTTTTTTTTTTCTCTGGTTTTGTCTCTGTTTTCACTTGTTTACGGCGGCGGCAGCGGTGGCGGTGGCGGCACAGAGGGTGGACGGTTGTCGGGTTTCCTATCTTTCTTTCCGGGGTTTTTTTTAAATGGAGACTGGGTTTTGGGTGTTGAGTAGATTGGATTAGAATGCGAGTTACCGGTGATTTTGTGGTGGGGTTTGCATGTGAAAAGGGAGGTGAGATCTGACGGTGGTTTGTGATGGGAAGGTCTGGTTATTGACAGGTACGTTTTATTTGCTTTTCAAAAATGATATTCTGGGAATTTTGTTTTTTGGTCGAAAAGGAAAGATTTTTTGTGGGTTTAATGAATTTCTTGATTCCGGGTTAAATTTTTAATTCTAAATCTTAAGTGGGTTTGGGGTGACTCTTTTGCTTTATTTTATTTAGGTGTATTTTGTATTGAACATGCAAAATTTCCTGCTAAGTGTTCATCAGTACTGTGCTATTTGCAGACTCAAAAGAAAATACTTTAGAAATCAAATTAGAATAATTTTGACTGAAAAACGCAATTTTTTTTATTCTGCTATGTGGGTGTGTTGGATCTATGATCAATGTAATTCAATTCCACATTTTCATTGACTTCCTTTTTTTTTTTACTATTTTATAACAATTTTGTTTTGGTTGATTTTACAGGAAATGGAAATGGAAAACTGGGATTTCAAGATTTTGTCTCAGGAGTGCTTTGCTTTGGTTATATATGTGTTTTGAAAAAAAATCTCAACAACACCACTAGCAACTAATGGATTGAAGAAAAGTGGTGGCGGTGACAGTCCATTTGGAAGCAATGATAAGAACATTAGCTCTGGCGCTGTTGGTTTTTTCACTTCTGCTGTCTGTATCGACGGCAGATAATGGCTTTCCAAGATGTAATTGTGATGATGAAGGAAGTTTCTGGAGTATTGAGAGCATTCTGGAGACCCAAAGAGTGAGTGATTTCTTAATTGCGGTTGCGTATTTCTCGATTCCAATTGAGCTCCTTTACTTTGTTAGCTGCTCCAATGTGCCATTCAAATGGGTCCTTTTTCAGTTCATAGCCTTCATTGTGTTATGTGGCTTGACCCATTTGTTAAATGGGTGGACGTATGGCCCTCACACATTTCAGTTAATGATGGCCCTTACCGTGTTCAAGACCCTCACTGCTTTGGTCTCATGTGCCACTGCCATTACTTTATTCACCATGATTCCTTTACTTCTCAAAGTGAAGGTGAGAGAATTCATGTTGAAGAAGAAGGCATGGGACCTGGGGCGTGAGGTTGGGCTTATAATGAAACAGAGGGAGACAGGTTTGCACGTTCGTATGCTTACTCAAGAGATTCGCAAGTCGTTGGATAGGCATACCATTCTGCACACAACCTTGGTTGAGCTATCAAAGACATTGGGTCTACAGAACTGTGCAGTTTGGATGCCAAATGAGATTAGAACAGAGATGCTTCTAACTCATGAGCTCAATGGGGAGAATTATTCATTGAATTCTACTATACCAATTACTGATCCCGATGTTGTAAGGATAAAAGGGATTGATAGTGTGAATCTTCTTAGTCCATATTCGCTACTCGCTACTGCAAGCAGCAGAGAGTATGGTGAGTCAGGACCGGTGGCTGCTATCAGGATGCCAATGCTTCGGGTGTGCAATTTTAAAGGGGGTACTCCAGAAGTAATTCAGACTTGTTATGCTATATTGGTCTGCATTCTTCCAAGTGGACAATCTAGATCTTGGAGCAACCAGGATCTAGAGATAGTTAAGGTTGTTGCTGATCAGGTGGCTGTGGCAATCTCTCATGCTGCTGTTCTTGAAGAGTCCCAACTCATGAGGGAGAAATTAGAGGAACAAAATCGAGCGCTGCAACTGGCTAGACAGAATGCTATGAGGGCAAGCCTGGCAAGAAATGCATTTCTGAAGGTAATGAGTGATGGGATGAGGAAGCCAATGCACTCAATTTTAGGCTTACTTTCAGTGATGCAATCTGGAAATTTGAATAGTGATCAACAAATTATTGTTGATGCAATGATGAAAACCAGCAATGTCCTATCAACCCTGGTAAATGACGTTATGGACATTTCAACAAAGGATAGTGGGAGGTTCCCATTGGAGATGAGATCATTCCGGTTGCATTCCATGATAAAAGAAACAGCTTCCCTTGCAAAGTGCTTGTGTATTTATAGGGGCTTTGGCTTCTCAATTGAGGTTGAGAAGTCATTGCCTGATTATGTCATAGGTGATGAAAAAAGAGTTTTTCAGGTTATATTGCATATGGTTGGGAGCCTCTTGGATGGCAATAGTGAAGGAGGAACTTTAATAGTTCGGGTCTCCTTTGAGAATGGTAGTCTGGAAAAGAATGATCAGAGGTGGACTGCATGGAGGCATGGCACTTCCAATGGGGATGTACGTGTCAGATTTGAAATTGGGATTGATAACAGTAGTTCTCAAGCTCAATTAGAGGGCTCAACATCAGAAGTACAGCCTGGGGGTAAGAGATGCACCAGTGGAGCTGAGGAGCGCTTGAGTTTCAGCATGTGCCAAAAACTTGTTCAGGTAAGATTGTTATTCTTTAAATGAGAGAAGGCAAGAGTGAACAATTGATATTTGTTTTGAGTAATAAAGGCCTATCTGTTAAGGTATAATCCAACTAAGGAGAATTATTGAATCAGAATCATTTAATGGACAGATGTAAGTTAGTCTTCCCTTTGTCTATTAGATTAAGTTGGGAGACCTCTAATAGTAGGTAGAACAGTGGTGCGCTTGTTATCCCAACAAAGAAGTCCTGTTTCTCTGTTTTAAGAATGTAAATAGGATCCAATTTTGTCATTACCTAGATCTCAACAGCCATGGTGGCTAACTGAAATTTTTTTACTTGGTACTTATAGTTGAAACTATATGCCTATTTTATAAAAATTATTGTTCCCATGTTTTAAGACATTTCTGACCAGTTTATTCCTGATGATCTCCATGAAATTGCAGATGATGCATGGGAACATATGGGTGATCCACAACCCTCATGGTTCTACTCAATCCATGGGACTTGTCCTTCGGTTTCAAGTCCGACCATCCATAGCAATAACCATTACAGAGGCTGGAGAGTCTTCAGAACAGCCACACTCAAACTCTCTTTTCAAGGGTTTGCAGGTTCTATTAGTTGATAATGATGATGTGAACAGGGCAGTGACCCGTAAGCTACTTGAAAAGTTGGGGTGCATTGTTTCTACTGTCTCATCTGGATTTGATTGCCTTAGTGCTATTGGCCCAGCTGCATCTCCTTTCAAGGTTGTTATGCTGGATCTGCAGGTGCCTGAGATGGATGGTTACGAGATTGCAATCAGAATTCGGAAGTACCGAAGTCGTAGTTGGCCCTTGATAATTGCCACCACTGCTAGTGCTGATGAAGGGGTGTGGGAAAAATGTACACAGATAGGAATCAATGGAGTCATTACAAAACCGGTCCTTCTGCAAGGACTTGCCATGGATCTCCAAAGAGCCCTGATCCAGGCAAACAAAGTTATGTGATGACACTGAACTGCAGCTGCCTGGAACCTTTAAAGTCAGTTTTGGTTCTTCATAGGTTTAGTTCACTTCTGAGCTTCCAGCATAGAGATGTTACACACACAACTTTCACAAGTGAAAATGGTATACAAAGTTCCTTTTACCTTCTTTTACATTTCAATTCAATATGCTCGATTTTCACTTTGATTGCATTGATAGTTCCGCATTCCCCCAGTCTAATCACAACTGTCTTAAAGCTATCTTTCTTATAAAACTGGTTATTTGCTTGGTGAAAACTACAATGAGTTCATTGTGGGTCCTAAACACAGTTTGTGGAGTAATTAGGAAACCTAAAGAAGAAACGAAACCCCGAAAACATTTCTTGGATTATGTAAATTGCATTTTCTAACTAGTGCCTATCATCCGTCCTGCATGCTTTCCTTCCATTATTGGTACGTCTGCCTCTTTTTTGCAATCGAATTCTTTATGCTCAGACGGTATACGGTTTACACGTTGAATGCAATTGCTGTTTCTAGCAATTGCTGTGTTTCTAGCAATCATACATTTTTGTTTTTGAAGCGTTTTATCAAAGAAATTCTTTTTTACTCCATGCCAAGCATTCGTATTGTGAGAATCTTTTTGCTAAAATTTTCAGGATACACTAGAGGAAAAATTTTCCAACTAGAGTTAAGATCCGCTCACATATATAAGTTTTATATAAATGATCAGCCATTGATTTTTAAATCCAAAACCTTGAGGTATATGACAAAATATAATACTAATATTTCAACCGATGAATTCAGAAATCAACTATTAATAATTTATGTATTATATATATGTATATAAATGGATCTTAACATATGTTGTATTATCAAAGTTGATTAATCCTTTTAATTTATAGATGGGTGATATATATTATTTTAAATTAATAATTTTGCTAATTTAGAATCATTCTTTTGGATCAATGAAGTTGTTTACATCATAAATTGCAAAAATTTTACCATTTCATATCCATGAAGTGCTTAGAGGAGTATATTGACTTGAATCACTAAATGAAGTTACATCCTCAAAAAATAAATTAAATCTACTTTAAATTGAATCTCCTTTAAACCTTATAGTCGAGGAAGGAGCTTGAAATTAAAGAAATTTTATAAAGAAAGATCGCATTAAACACCAGAAAAAGAAGGTCGTGGAAGAAATTAAAAGGAAGTTAGTGGTTATCCTTCTTTTTTACTTTCAATAAAGTAAATGGTACATTCGCATTTAGATTTCGTACGTGCAAGATCATTAGAAGATTTTTTAAGAAACAAAAGTATAATGTAGCTGTGATATTATAATATTATGCAGAAATGGTCAGACAGAATTAAACCCAAACAGATAAGAAAGAATAGAAGCAGGTTATACCTTTTTTTTTTTTTTTTTTTTTTTTTGTGTTTCTGTGTACACTCTAGGTGGCAAACAAGCAATGTAATAATTTAACATGAGACTGGTGTCCTGTTAGGTACAAAATATTCAATGCCTTTTCCTTATGCATGAATCTAGTAGTTAATAGGAAGAAGAATGATGCCCAAATGCATTAAAAATGTGCTTCTTTTTATACATCGCTTGTTCTCTTTTACAAATCATAAATCTTAAATTTCAAATTTTCAAGTTGATATAATATATAGTCATCTTATTTAAAAAAAAAAAAAAGAACCTATTTTCTAATATACATATTCAATGATATAAAATTTTGATTTTTTAGCCAACGATATAAAATTTTGTTTTCATTAATGAAATAGTTAAACATATTTAATTAATAAAATATTAACTATATTTAAAATTATTTAAGAATTTATAAGATTCTTCTTAGTTTTCTAAAATATAACTTCTTTTAAATTATTAAGTATTTATAATATTCTATTTGTGTATTAACTGTTAATTAAGCTCTTTCTTTGTTGAGTAACACATCAACCATCCAATGGATTTTTTTTTCTTCACTCACGTTGAATTGAAGAAGTTAAATTCACTAATAGATTGTTTAATTTGAAAGGAGGGGAAGAGAAGAATTTTCCCAATTTAAAGATTATTTGATATAATAATTTGAAATTAACAGTTAACAATTTCATTTTATATACAATGAATAAAAGTCTTTAGATTATTAGTAATAATAATTATTAATCATTAAATTAAACAAAATTGTTAACTATTAGTTTAAAACTATTATAACAAACAATTTTTTATACAACAAAAAGTTGAAGAGAAGGGAGGGGAAATGCTTTCCCTTATTTTGTTTTAATTTTCTTTGCATTTCAATTTAACCAAACAAAAAAAGAGAAATAGAAAAAGAATAATATCCTTTTATTTTCTTCTCTTCCCTTCCCTTTCCTTCAAACTAGATAGGGTAAAGAAACAAACAACTTGAAAAAATTCAAAGGAAATGTTGATAAAATGGAAGGATGATATATGGTTGCTTTTGTCTTCAAATTCATGCATGAACCTAAGTACGTAAGTGGTTTTTAAATGAAATCATTCCACACCGACCCGTGTCTTATTCTCCCACAAAATCCAAATATGAATAATATCTTCTATCTTTTCATGATTTATAGTAGTATTTAATTGGTAGGGGACCTCATTTTAGCTAATCCCTTTTGGAATGAATAAATTAAAGGCAAAATTGCAGTTGGAGAGGGAAACACATGAATCAGGTATACTTTTTACATCTCCGTAAAGACTAAGGACGTCGAAAAGTAAGAATAATTATTTAAGGCCCGTTTAGTAATATTATTATTTTTGTTTTTTGTTTTTTTTTTCTTTGCTTATTATGAAAAAATTTTTTAGTTTTAGTTACTCCTATTAGTTTTGAAAATTTGTATTTAAGTATCCATTTTAATTTTTAATTTTGACTTTTAGATGTCAATTATGATTTTATTCAAATTTTGGTGACTAAGAAGCTAAAAACAACAATTTTACTTATTACTCTTATATCTTACAACTTATTTGGTTTGAGGGGAGCGGAGGGAAGAGGAGAGGAGGGGAGGGGAGGGGAGGAGAGGAAAGTAGGATAAAGTTTCCTATTTGGATAACACAAATTGAAGGGAAGGGAGGTCCTCTCCTTTATTTTCTTTTATAATTTTAATATAATCAAATGAGAGAAGGGGGAGGGGAGGGAGGGAAAATAGAAAGATATTGTCTCCACTCCTCTTTGTTTCTTACAAACAAAATAATGAATTAAGAGAAAACATGTAGATAAAAATATGAATTTTGTTTTTTTTTTTAATTTAAGAATGTAAAATTTATCAGATTCTAAATAAAATAATAAAATTTTATTTTTCTATTTAAGGATGTCAATTAAAAATTTTTCTATTTAATGATTAATTAGGTTATAAAAAAAATTGAAAGTTTACTGTTTTATTTAAAAACTAACAAAATTCACATTTTTAAATTAAAAAACAATTTATATTTTTATTTATACATTTTCTCTTGGTGTAAGGTATTCTTCACTTCTCAATATTTAAGGATACTAGTTCACGTGGAGTGTAGTGCATTTGTCTCAGACTACAGGGACTAAAAAAACATGTTTCTATAATGTGGAAGTAGTAGAGTGCACTTGTCTCAAATCATCAAGGGGTATATGCATTTAAAAAAAAAAAAAGATTCCATCGATTTGCCAGCCAGCCCTTTTGCACCATCAATTCTTTGGTGGTGGCTTATTCAGAAATCATAATCAGGTATGAGAATAATCCTTGGTCATTATTTGCCAAAATTACTTTATAATTTTTTATAAATTTGACCATATCATTACCAAGATCCAATGAACAATTGCTGTTTTTGCATTATTAGTGCATACAAAAAGTAAGCATATTTCCTCTATTTAAAAAAAAAAAAAAAAGGCACCTCATTCATGTTAGTAAGATAGTGCACCTTAAGCTTTGAGTTTTTATATTAAAAATCAAATCTTACACTAAGTGAGAAGGTTTAAAAATAGGAGAGCAAATTTCTGTTGCATAATTCGTAATTTGTTTACGTTAGAATAGTGAGTGGTGGGGGCAAGATTGCCCCACCTGGAATCTAGACTTCCTTAAAGCATATTCTATAAGGTGGAACAGAAGATTGAAGAAGGATTTGTGTCTCTTACTGTCTTACAATGTGGCAATTCATAATGAATTAAGAGGATTTCCATCTTGAAATTTTCAAGCATATGATTTCATCAACATCTCAACTTGGTCAAAAGGAATAATCAAAATTAAAAGGAAGGCCAAAAATAAATAAATAAATAAATAACAATTAAAAGAAAAGAATCTCTCAATAGTCCATACCGTCACACAACTTGTCCAAAAAATCAAATTAGACATCTAAATTATTTTTGTTCTTGAAAAAGTACTTGTGCCAGGGGCTCTGTATCCACAATAAATTAAAGACAACTTGAGTTGCTGAATGAAAGCAGTGAATCTATGAAGATATGGGCTTCAATCCTTCAAACCCACTTTCTTTTTCTTATATTATTGGGTTTTTTTTTTTTTTTAATATGAGTATTTACACCTTTAATTTGATCAATCTTTATTACACCGACAAACTGCTCATCTATAGGTTTTGGGGTAGACCAAAATCTTTTATTTTCTCTTTATCTCTCATCCCACAAATTTTGTTATTTTTTTATTATTATGTTTCTATTCATTTAATACTACATAATATTAACTTTAAACAGTATTTGAGAGTAGATAGATGGGAAAGTGATTGGTAGAAAAGATTTAAGAAGTACAATTAAAATAATCCTTATTAATTCATTGGATTGGCATCAAGACTTTCTAGTTTTTTAATGAATATTGAATAGTTCTTGTTCATGCACCCTTCTAATAACATGGAAAGGAACAAAGCCCACATTACATAATTGAAGATCTCATTGTATTTAAAATTCTAAGAAGAGGGAGGAAAAACAGGCACACTGTCCCAATAGGATTGGAGTTTCAAAATCAAAAGAAAACATAAATAGAAGCCTGGTTGCTTTATTAGGTAATAGTACTATTGGACTTTGCTGTCCAAATGTTGGCTTCATAATTAAATTATTAGGAACCTATTTAGCTATAATCTAGGGTTATGTTTACAAGAAAAGGTGGTCAATATGATTGGCTTAGCTTAATCAACCATGGGTTTCTTGTTCATGACATCTTTTCTTGGTTAGTTTTTTCTATTGGACACTTGCCCATGGTCCCCAATCCCTCCTAATTCCAAATTGCACGGTTGTTAGATTTTTTTTTTTTTTTTTTTAAATTTTCTTGAGCAATGGGGAATTGGGGCTGGGAATTATTACAATATTGTTACTTCTAGTAATCAAACCTAGACATTTTACCGTGTCATTGGTGTACCTAACCAATGCGGCCTCAGTTGAAACTGCAATTGTTGGACATTTATGTGATGAACGACTGGTTGGCAATTTTATTTGTTTTACAGAGCAGAACAGACAAGGGATGAACTTTTTCATAGTGTGCAATTGGGTATATTTAATTAGGAGAAAGAAATGCACTATAATTTTCCACTATTACAAATAAGGACAAATAAGTGCATTAATTGTCTAAGTTTGACAAGTAGTGATAATCCAGCAGAAGAAAATGACAAAAGTATAGTAATATAATCTCAATAATCTTATTTTCAAAGACCAAGATGTTTCAATGGAAGCAGTACTCAAGAACATCCAAATTAGATCATTCTTGTGGCTTAAAGAAAGGGTTGAGGGCTTTTCATATTCATATTATAAATGGGAACATAATCCTATAGACTGTATAGCAACTATCTTATAGATCAAGAAGCGGATTTGCTTGTGTTAAATGTATATTTTGAGGATTGAGGTTGTTGTCTTAATACTTGTTAATGTAATTGGTTGACATATCCCTTGTATCTTACTAATAAATTATTTTTTACTAATAAAAAAAAAAAGGTAATATAATCTCAATTTGGAGTTGTGGGGAACATTACTAAACTAATTGACATTTTATTAGTTCTTGTTTCTATAAACAATTTCTGACTTCTAATGGTACATGACACACTCATCTTCTTTAGAAAAGGCTCAGTTCGAATTGGAATCACCCATCACTAATATGAGTGTCTAGGTCATTTTTCAATGACTTTTTAAGCATCTATTTGTTGTAACAATTTTGCTTTGCATCTATTCTTTTATTTGACTTTGATGTAAAGAGATGGGAAAATATCTGATCATTCCATGCACCCATCTCAACAATAAGACTTATTCTTGAGAAGCATAATGTATTTTACAGTTTAAATTATATTAAATTATAAAATACTAACTATTAAATATAAAAATTTTCACTTATTATCAAAGGTCCTTCATCATTCAATAATAAATAATTTACAATTTAATATAAAATGAACTGCAATACACTTTGTGATATTAAAATTTTCATTTTCAAGAATATTGAACTCTCTAGAGATACTTTCATATAGATGCTACATGCTGCATTGAGTGGAAGATAATTCTTATAAAGACAATACCTTCTAAAGTTGCCTCCGTGCAATGCATGCAAAAAATCTAAAAATATCAAAATGAAGGGTTCATTTCAGAATCCCATTTAAAGTCGTTATGCCAGCATGAAGGTCCATGGAATCCAAAGATCTATAGTCATACACTCATGTCATAGTGTTATTATTATTATTATTATTATTATTATTATTATTATTATTATTATTATTATTATAGTAGTTACCATAAGTAATATCATGAGTTAGTTTTTATATACTGTTTTATTAAATCTATCTTTTTTATTGAGTTAAAGACAAATCATCTATAAAAAAAAAAATTAATTTCCTCTTTTTATTGACCACAGACATCTACACATCAAGGTGGGAGCAAATATAATTTTTTCTTCTATTTTTTCGTATCTTTAAACAATTTAAAAATCAAAACCAATTAAATCTCTAAAAAATATACCCAACTAAGTATGTTTAAGGCCCAATTAAAAAGGGGCTATGGACCACCTTCTTTTTTCAATTTTACCCAACTGTTTTTCACGAAAAAGCCTTAAAGTTCTCCCTTCTTGCAAAACTGCCCATACCAAATGGTTTCCTCGCAATGCGCAGCATGTTACCTTGTTGATATGGAAGTGATGTGCTAACCATCAGCACTCACAAAACAGGGTATGGCTGGTTGGGTCCAAGTGGACCTTGGAGTTTGATAACAAATCATGGGCTTATACCACAGAAGAAAAACTGTTGATTTTTGGGCTGCTATAATAAGGTTTCATATTGTGGTTTAATTTCATTTTTTTTTAATATTGAGAGTGAGACTCGAACCTCGCATTTATCAAATTTTGCATGAGAAGTCATTTATAACGAAGAGGGGCTTATTTTCTTGTTTACATACTGGCTTAGCTGATAAATTCATTAGTTATGGAAGAAGCTAATACTAATAATAAGAGTCTAGTTAAATTGTTACTCATTAATTATAAGGCTTTCATTTTTTTTGAAATTTAGAATAAGAGAACAAACTTCCGCGAATATACAAGACAGTTACCCTCCCATGTAGCAATAAAACAAAAATCTACAAGGCTACAAGCTAATTGATAGGTGAGTTTAGTATTTTATCGCTTATATTGTATTAAATTATAAAATATCAATTAATAAATGGGAGGGCTTTTTTTCATTATTAAGAGCCCACCTAATCTACTACTTAGTGTTTTACAATGTAATACAAATTTTTTTTCCTTTCTGTTGAGTACTGAAATGGGAGTTGGCATTTTTGCGGTGGAAATTTTGTTAGCCTGTTAAGTGGATTAGATCTTGGCAGGCCCATTTGTTTTGGGTATTCGTTAAAAAAAATAAAGTCTACAAACATTTATAAATTATAATGACCGAGAAACCTAAAAGCCCAGTCCTTGGGCTTGGGTTGTACAGGCCCTTCTGCTTTTTACTTTTTCTTTTGATGCATACATGCCCTTCCTTTTCAAAACCTCATACTCTTCTTCGAATGCTTAAGTATACCTTTTTAAAATGTCCTTAGAAACTTGGGATTATTAAAGGCATTTTTTTCTTCCTTCAGTCCGCATTTACATTTTCTTTTGCCAGGCCGGATTGAGAAGAAGATTTTTGTTTTAATTATGAAAGAGGAGAGATCTATTCACACATAAATCTTATACACTATGTTTACACAAATTTTGATAATTTATTTCTTTACTTTTAATAGTAGAGATTTATTATGACTTTTTAGATAAAAATAATATTTATCTTTAATAAATATAAATAAAATATTTTAACTATTGAAAGTAAAAAGATGAATAGTTGAAATTTTATATAAGTATGATGTATAAAACTTGTATGTAAGTGGATCTCTATTAATTATAAAAAAAAAATCATTTAATTCCATCATATATGAACAAGGGTTTTATGTAGAGGCTCTGGGGCAAAGTATGCGACCTAAGTTTATAAGTTTATTTGAATTATTAAGTAGAGCAATTGTTGTTTGGGCCTACCTTGGAGTATATATAATTTTACAATCAGAGTGTTTCCAACCAATTTTATATGCTTCGAGACTAATTCTTCCATAGGTAATATAAAGGCGTTCCTTCCACATCAGCCAAATGCATTTAAAAAAAATTAATTACTTTAAATGTTGACTCAAAGATTTAACCCTTAAATTTAGTTTATAAAATAATACTTATTTACTAATGAATACATTTAAAAAATTAATTATTTTAGATGCTAACTCCAAGATTTAACCCTTAAATTTAATTTATAAAATGACACTTATTTACCAATAAATCCAACCCTTGTCATTCTTATATAGAGTTTTGGAAATTGATAAATTGCATTCAACTGAAAAATACACTTGCAAAAAGATGACAAATTGGACCTACTATAATTAGACATATAATTAGTCATTACCAGTACTGATAACCCCATGATTTATCTAGGAAATTAACTAGTCTCTAATAGTGCGTACAAGTCAAATGTCTAATACAAGGCCAAAGGTTCAAGTAAAGTAATTGATGAAGCCAAAATTAATAATTGTATTATTACAGATCAATGCCGATTTGTCTACAAGTCTCACTCCATGTCTGCATCTATACATATGTACATTGACAAGTTCAAACGTGTAGCTGTCTTTGATTAATTAATCAATCATTGTCTTCCCAAAAGTATATTATTAAGCAAAGCAAATATATACTTAAAGTCTTAATTAGGAAATTAGAAAGATATGAGGTTTGATTTTGTGATAATGATCATATGTCAATGTAGAAGAAATTACTGCTTTGATATGGAAAAACTGGATTGTTTGTTAAGTTTGAACAGGAAAATTATAAGATGGTTGAGGTTTTTCAAAGATCGAAATTGACAAGGAAAAAAAAATGCTTTTATAACTTCTTGATGGTATGTGACAGTCAATGTGAAGCAAACTTATTTGTTTTGAAATGGAAATTAAGATGGAAGAAGCATAAATTAAGTCAAAGTAAGGAACAGAAGTTTGCCCCAAACACATCCCAATTTGACAATATCTTGTTGGGTCATAACCTTTGTCATTGGTGATAAGGAAATTTGGCGCATGCCTTATTTACCTCTCATGAATTTATATACTTGCAACACATTTTTTAAAGAAAAAAATTATCTGAACATATGGTATCACTTACTCATAGAGTAGTGAAATTTTATTTTTTGATTAAAAAAAAAAAGAATATAAATATAATAAAGGTGAAGTAAAATTTTTTTTAAAATACAAGCAATAAACACTAGTGGTCTAGTGGTAGAATAATACCCTGCCACGGTATAGACCTGGGTTCGGTTTCCAGTTGGTGCACAAGAAGGTTTTATGTTTTTAATTCATTTTCTTTATTTACCTTGATGATGATTTATATACTCTCGGTTATTTTTTAATAAATTTAATTTAATTTTTAAAATTTTAAAATGTAAATTTTAAATAAAAATTATTGAAAATTTTTTATTAAATTATAGGAGTCAGCAATAATTTCATATAAAAAGAAAAAAATTTTAATTGTTATTTATATAAATTATTAATTTTTATTCAAAATTTATATTTAAAAA